ATCATCCGTATTTTAAGGTACCTCAAGAAGGCTCTTGGACAAGGTTTACTATATCGAGATAAAGAAAATGTTCAAGTCTCTGGGTATTGTGATGCTAATTGGGCAGACTCCCCTATTGACAAATGTTATACTATAGGATATTGTGTCTTCCTTGGAAGAAATGTTATCTCATGGAAAAGTAAGAAGCAAAATGTAGTAGTCCGATCATCCGCTGAAGCTGAATATCGGACAATAACATATCTCACTTGTGAACTCATTTGGGTAAAACAATTTCTTCGGGAGCTTAATTTCTGTGAAATCCAGACCATGAAGATGTACTGTGACAACCAAACTGCTCTCCATATTGCATCAAATCCGAAGTTTCATGAGAGGACTAAACATATAGAAATCGACTGCCATTTTGTTTGGGAAAAATTAATGTCCAAGGAAATTTGTACTTAGTTCGATGGGTCAAATGACCAACTTGCAGATATGTTGATCAAGTCATTAAGGGGACCTCAGATTGAGTTCATTTGTTCCAAGCTTGGTTCATACAATTTGTATGCTCCAGCTTGAGAGAGAGTGTTAGAATCATTACTTCATAGTATTATCATTAGACCTAAGTATAGGGTGTTAAGTGTAGGAAACTTCCTACATCGGTATCTAGGTCTACACCTAGGGTCCTAGTTGCAGTCTCTTACTTAGTCTTTTATGTCTCATTGTATCATATTTTCCATTATAAATAGAAGAAAGGGAGAAGGGTCCAAAGAGTCCTGAAGATATATTTTTTCTCTATTAATCTTAAGTTTTTGCATTCATGGTTTGTAGGTTGCACGGCATGCCAAAGAGTATCGTTTCAGATCATGACCCAATTTTTATGAGCAATTTTTGGCAAGAGCTCTTTCGGATGAGTAGTATAAAGCTCCAAATGTCTTCAGCTTACCATCCGCAGAGTGATGGACAAACAAAAGCTATTAATAAGATGTTGGAGCAGTACTTGTGGGCTTTTGTTCACACTAAACCAAGGTTATGAGAAAAATACCTACACTGGGCTGAATGACATTATAATTCAGCAAATCACACAACTACCGAAGTCACACCTTATGAGGTCATTTATGATCAGTCACCTCCTTCATTACCACAATATATAGTTGACATCAGCCATAATAAAGATATGAACTCAGACTTAGCTACTCGACAAGAGTTGTTGACCAAGCTATATTCCAAGCTGCTTAAAGCCTAGGCCACCATAAAATACTATGCAAATCAGAAACGATTGTCCCATCCTTTTCAAGTGAGTGATCACGTCTTAGTAAAGCTAAGAGCATATCGTCAAATAACAGCAAAGAGTAGAAGAACTTTAAAACTTGTTCAACGCTTCTATGGGCCCTTTCAGATTGTGAAGCAAATTGATGAAGTTGCGTTTCAACTGGACTTACCTAACGGAATTCAGATTCACCCAGTTTTTCATATTTCTAAGCTAAAACCATTTATAAAATATGTTGACACCCCTGCTTTAAAGTTGTCGCCTATGACCTTTGATAACCAACCCAAATTACAGCCCCTTGCAGTGTTAGACTGACACGAGTCTCCTTTATCCGGTACTCATGAGACATTGATACAATGACAAAGATTGTTTCCTGAAGACGCTACTTGGGAGGAGGAATACCCAAACTTGCACCTTAAGGACAAGGTGTTTGTTGAAGGAAAAGGGGATGTAATGACCTAGAATAACGATGAAGTTCAGGACCAAACATAAATAGAAAATTATGGAAGTGACTTCATCACGAGCTCAAATACTTTAGGGATTATGATTGTTCTATTAAGGGTAGATTGAAGTAAGTAACAAGATTTACTGTGAACATGGGGTGCGAGCTGATTAATATTTCTCTGTTAGTTAAGATTTTATTATGACGTGTCTTTCTTGTGGGTGCTACTCCAGTACACTTTTGGTATTAAATAATAGAAAAAATTATCACTCAATTTTTTTTTATTTATGGAGGAAGGTTAATATGCAAAAATAGGCATTAGAGAGGGTTTATTCAAGCAAATAATTGAATGATTATCATCAAATTCAAAAGTGTGGACGAGCTGGGACCTTTTCTGCCACCTCCATGATCTTCTTTGATATCCAAGTCACAAAATGGTGCTTCAATATTAGCTTAGGTAACATGATGATATTTAAAGTGATCATGGTTTAATCAAGTAAATAATAGAATGATTATCATAAAGGTCAAAATATGGTGTAGCTGTGATATTTTTTGCCCCCTCCCTAACAGTTGGATTCATATAACTGATGTGCCATGATTGAACAAGGGCAAAGTGATGTACAAGTTTTGGATTGATTCCCCCTCTCTCCTATTCATGTTTCATGATGGAGGCTGAGCGATGTTTGGTGATAGAGAGTTTTTGGAATCGAACGACGCCAAGATTGAAACTTTTTAATCCTAAAACAAACTTATTACTCATAAAATTTTCCAAAACTCATAAATTGAAACTAATTATTTACTTTTGTTACTGTCTACTGAAAAAATATATTTTAAATATTAATATAATTATCTCATATAATAAAAACAATTTTGTTATTTTACGAAATTAATGACTTATAAAAATTATTATTAATTTAAATAATAAATATTATTATTATTATTATTAATTTAAATTTATGTTAATAAGTAAATTTATTGTCCTAGTTTTAAAATTTTGGTAATTTATTATTATCAATTAAGTTCACTACTAATAATGTTATTTTATACTTACAAAATTTTAAAAAAATATTTTAATGGTTTAAAAGTAAAATTAATATTGAAGTCATCCAATTTAAAAATAATTATTTAGTCGCGTAAATTTTAAAATACTATTGAAATCATTATATTTAAAAGTGATTACTTAAATCTTCTAATTTAAAAACAATTCGTTTAATTTTTCAAATTGATGCTATTGAAAATTTGTTGAATTATATTTTATTTGAGAATATACTTTGTTACTTCTCTCTTTCTCGTTCCTTCTCTTGTAATAGTGCTATGAATGTTTGTCACTGCAACTACAATCATAAAATCTATCATGAAATTAGTTTTATGTTAAGTAAAATTAATCAGTTTTTTTTAATCCTTTAATTTTCTATAAAAAAATAAATGCAACCAAGTTTAACGTTCAATTTTGAATTAGATATTATTTTATTCAATTTAAGGATCAACAAACTAAATTTAAATTTAAGAAACAAATTAATTTTAAATTTGAAAATAAAAAAATCATAGAAGATTAAAATAAACTTAAACCTAAATTTAAAAGATAAAAATTTTAATTAAAATAAAAAAATTTCCCTGTCATTATTTAAATTATACATGTTATTGCTGGAATAGATATTTTTTTAGTTATGTCAACCATGAGTAACATCGACAGTGGTAACATTTTCTAAATAAGATGGATTAAAACATTTAAGCCAAAATTTTCGATATTGATAAAGTCAATTCATCAATTATTCAGTTCATTAACCCAGAAAAGCTAGTTCGTTAAGAAATCAACTGAGAATCGGTCCAAAACTAATAATGATCCAACTTGCTAAATTATTCTATTTTTATTTTTCAGTTAAACAAAAAACTATTTTTGGAAAAAAAAAATCTAATGTCAAACACATTAAAAATCTATGTAAGAAATTTATTTCACAAAACATATACAAATATTACTTTATATTAATACATAGTTTTACTTAATTGATTTTATGTTTAATAGTACCTAATAAATAAATATTATTTTTTTACCAAACTCAGATAATTTTTAAAAGATATAGAAAAGTTATATTAAAGTAAAAACCACGTTGAATAGACAGAAACATTTGGAATAATAATGATATATATCATTGACATGCCGCAGCATTCATCAGACAGCACTAACTTTTGTTCTTGGTCATTGCATTACTCATGAGGCGTCACCAATTAAAAGTTGCAATAAACAATGAGAAAACCAGGTTGGAATCGAAATTATCCATCTTTGTTGTCCTTTTCATTTTGGGAATGAGATCACCACGAAATTAATAATGCATTCAATGCATATATTCGAACAATCCAAAGAAACAAAAACAAGTGGCTGTATCGTACCATCTATTTTCTCTCTCTTGGTCTGTGATTTTTTGTCTGTTACATGGGACACTGACAGTGTTCAGCCTTAACGTTACCCTTTTGGTTTTCTCTTCCCCCACGACCTGGAACTATCTTGCGTTGGATACCTGATGAACCTGAGCTTGGTTTTTGGTTCTGTGGCTGACACCAAACTGCTACTAATACTGCTTCTGCTGAATATATACTTTTGAGGGTGACAAGTACCGGTTTTAGTGACAGTTAAGGAGGTGAGGATTGGTTTTCAGCTTCAGCCTTTCTTGTGTTTTTAATTTCAAATTTGAGATTATTATGATTTATGAGTTTAACATTTTATAATCTCATCTGGTTAGAAATGGTTTCTGCTAAAAACTTTGCCTTGACTATTTTGAATGATTGTGAGAGTTTGGCTGAAAAGCAACAGAGAACAAAACTCAGATGCGGGTGTTTTGGGCATATCTGTTAATCTTTAATACAAAGTTTTATTATACTAATAGCTTGAAACCCCAGTTCTATGAGAATAACACAAGAACACTTAACCGCCTCTAAGTTTTGTCCTTGAAGCTTTTGGTACTGTTTGTTCTATTCTTCTTTTCTGTGCAGTTGGTTTGAATATGCTCTGCTTTTAGTTTGTAAAGGCATGGTCGATGTAGATTATATGTTGATAGAAATTTGGTTTGTAAAATTTTGTTTCCTTTCAAAAGATGGGACGGATAGTGATGGAACCACAAACAGAAATAAATAAACTTTGTTGCTTTTCCAAATTTTATAGGTCAGTTTGGATCCTTGGTTTGAGTATGCTTGGATTTCATCAGAGTTTACTATCAACTTTTGCGTGTGTGTGTGTGTTTAGGTAACTAACTATTTCACGTTTTGTTTCTCAAGGATAGAGTAACAGAGAAAGTTATTGAACTGAGGACTAAATAAATGGCTTCAACTGAGTCTGCTGAAGACGGTCAAAGCAGAGGCGGTATGTGGGCTTTGGAACAGAGGATTGACCAGCCAATGGATGAAGAAGCTGAAAAGCTCAAAAACGTGTACAGAGAAAAAGTATGATGCAAATCCTCCTTGACATACTTTCTTTTGATGGATTCAGTTTTGTTTATTTAAGAGACTGCAATTTATCAGAATTAGGCTGACAGAAATCAAACTCCTAACCACTTTGGTACAGAGGCTTTGGTACCATAAAATGTGAGGAGACCTAATCCTTTATATGGTAGTACCAGTATCTAACCTGAACTAAATACCTAAAGATCTTAACAAAACAAAATAACTTCATAAAAAATCAACAACAATCTTAGTTAGTCAAAACTTTGATTTATGTTTCTCTATTTTTCATAAAAAAGATAAACTACAGCATAAGGTAAAATGGGGATGGGCATTTTTAGGATTTAGAGCTATTGAGCGAGAAGATTTGTATATATAAAACCACTATTGGAGCTCCATTTGAGCTTAAGCTTTTAGGGGAGTTGATCCTTGACATGGTATTGAGGCTTAAGTGGTTGGGAATTAACAGAACAAATACCCTTAATACAAAATAGGCACCGCGCATAAGCAAAAATAAGAATAGAGAAGAAGAATAATACACAAAATTTTAACGTTTAAGAGATCCTCTTGATTCATATACCCTTTGTTTATGAACAAAATCTTCTTGATTCATGAAGAGACCTAGCTTTTTTCATAAAGGGATGTGACTCTTCATAAAGAAATGTGACTTTTTTATGAGAAATGCTTCAGGGGAGTAATTCCAACATGAGAAATTAGGTGGAATTTCAGTGGAGCAGCAAGGATTAGACTTCTTCCCTTTTGCTAACAAAGGCTCTCCAGCCACTTTAGAATCAACTCATTCAAGCTATTATTGAAGTGGTTTGATTATCAACAGTTGTATTTTAATGCGCAAGAAAGCCTTTAGCTCTAAATTACATTCTGGATAATGGATTCGAAACTTTCAATTTCATTTTAAATAGAATTCTTACAAGAAATTTCAAGTACATATCTGAATGCTGTGTAGACTAAGAATTTCATATTTTTGCATTTTTGTTGAGTAACTCTAAGTTGAATTTTCAATCGGAATTTCTTCATTCTCTAATTCTCTTTTACAGGTTAAAAAAAAAATATCATGCTAGCTATGGAAATAATTTCTTCTTGTTATTGGTTTGATTTGTTCAGAAATTTTCTACCTTGTTGCTTCTGCGGCTTGCATATCAGAGTCTTGGTGTAGTCTATGGAGATTTGGGCACTTCCCCCTTATACGTTTTCTATAATACATTTCCTCATGAAATTGAGGACCCTGAGGATGTGGTTGGAGCTCTTTCTTTGATAATATACTCTCTTACTCTGGTGCCGCTGCTCAAATATGTTCTTATTGTATTAAGAGCAAATGACAACGGTCAAGGTATTTGTTTGAGTTTAGTAATTAATATATTTATGGTTGGACTAAGGAAATAACTAAGCATACTAGTATTTCAACATATGGCATATTGGACATATGTTTCTGTTGATACTGTTATGGAGCAGGTGGAACATTGGCTCTTTATTCCTTGCTCTGTCGACATGCAAATATTAGAACCATTCCCAACCAGCATCGTACTGATGAAGAACTAACAACATATAGTCGGTCTACTATCCTTGAAAAGTCATTTGCTGCAAAAACCAAGAGATGGTTAGAGGAGAAAGCTTATATTAAAAATATCATTCTTATTCTCGCCCTTGTTGGTACTTGCATGGTGATTGGAGATGGTATTCTTACCCCAGCTATATCTGGTATGGCTTGTGTCTGAAACTGATCTTCTTGTTCCTTTTTGTTTATGTTTCTGTAAATGTGAACTTGCTTAGCCAAGTACTACATCTACCAACAGTTTAATACGCTTCTGCATTTTATATGTCAAAATGTGAAAATTTACCGAACTGTGAAGAGAAATCATAAAATCATTATGACGTGATAGAAAAGAACAGTGATTAGTATATAATTTAATATCGGTAGTACTTTGAATGACCTTACTCATTACTTGGTCCACTTAGCAAGAGATGTATGTATAGGAAAGTTGAAAAGGCTTAGAAAACAAGATCTTATTACACTTGTAAAGCTTGTTTACTTTCTTCCCCTTTTAAGAATGAATTAATCAGAAATTAATTTCATGATGTAGTCCATCTCCTTATACCTTCATGGATGATGTATTGCATAAGACTCCAGATAAAATGATTCAGCTTCAGTACACTTTATTTTCTGCTTTACTATCATCTTAAATACACCTCCAGTGAGTCAAGATATTCATTACAAAATCTTCTGTTGCAGTTTTATCTGCGGTTGGTGGCATCAAGGTAAATCACGCAGATCTTAGTAACGGTACGGTCCTACACCTACACTGTAACATTACATTTTTCTTCTGTTTCTATATCTACCACTATATGTGTTAATTTCAACTTCAAATATTTTATGTTCTTAGTCTTGAAAAATATTTTTTTCTCATTTTTTCATGAATTGCAGGAGTAGTGGTGCTGGTTGCTGTTGTTATACTAGTTGGGTTATTCAGCATGCAACATTACGGTACAGATAGAGTTGGTTGGCTCTTTGCTCCGGTTGTCCTTCTTTGGTTTCTTCTAATTGGAGGCATAGGCGTGTTCAACATCTGTAAATATGACAGCAGCGTTCTAAAAGCTTTTTCACCAGTGTATATATACCACTATCTACGACGAGGAGGTAGAGATGGTTGGACTTCTCTTGGTGGCATTTTGCTCAGCATAACAGGTATCTTCACTTTTATATATATAACTGTTGATTTCCTCCTTGTTCAGAATTGTTGACTAAGTGAAATGAATACATGATTTGAACTTGGTTATCTGTGATGATTTATTTCAGGGACAGAGGCTCTTTTTGCTGACTTAGGCCACTTTCCAGTCTCTTCTGTACAGATTGCATTTACTCTCCTAGTGTTTCCTTGCCTTCTTTTAGCCTACTCTGGACAAGCTGCATACCTTATGCATAACTTGGAACATTCAAAAGATGCGTTTTATCGTTCTATTCCAGGTTTGTTATATTCCCACACTTCTTTATTGAAATTTCCACTTGTGATATGATGTGTTCAGAATATGATCAAGAACCATGTTGCTACATTCTTAGGATAACCTTCTTGGTAGAAGTTTCACTTTTCTTTCTCTTAGAGATATTTTATGTTGACTAGTGTTAGTGATGTTATAAAAGTATGAAACCCCTTCAAGTTTGTGGAGAAATTATGGTTCTTAGATTTTTGTTTCTTTGTTGTCAAGGGCCCCTCTAGATTTAAAGGACCAGGTTAATTATTGGTGTTATGATAATTGATTTGGTGTTTTGGAGATTATCAGATGATTTGGAGACCATGTGAGATGTCAATTACAGTGTGGTTGAGGATGGCCAGTTAAGAAAAAGGTTGAAGACTTCATAAACTTAGGGCCCATTTATTATATAGAATTTGTTGGATTGATTTTTGTGAAATTAATTTTAAATTGATTGAGACGTGTGTCTTAATGTTAACCACACATATTTGAGAGTGAAACACGTTAAATGGGAAGAAACTGTTGTGTAATTTCCAAATGAACACTGGATCCCATTTGATTGGGATGTGTACCGAGGAGAAGCAAAGAGTTGTGTAATATTTACCTCATTTAATACACTTTTTAACACTTTTTTTTTTAATTCACTTTTTACTAAGTTTACGTAAAATTATAAAATTTAGTAACGAGTCTTTAATATGTTTTAGACATTGATTATTCTTAATTCTGCAGAAAAAATATACTGGCCAGTATTTATTATTGCAACAGCAGCAGCTATAGTTGCAAGCCAGGCCACAATATCCGCAACCTTCTCAATTATTAAGCAAGCCAATGCTCATGGCTGTTTCCCAAGAATAAAAGTTGTACATACATCAAAGAAGTTCCTTGGCCAGATATACATTCCAGATATCAATTGGATCCTTATGATTCTATGCATTGCTGTTACAGCTGGGTTCAAAAATCAGAGTCAAATTGGAAATGCTTATGGTAAGTTAATCTTCCCTGTTGAATGTTGTGAAGCATACTTTTTCAAATTTCTTTTATAAGAAAAGAAAATTTACTACAAAGGGAAAAGAATCTACAACTTGTAGGAGGATATATAAATTCCTTAGAAAGATAAAAACAGGATAAAAGTAAAATGCGTTTTATCCTTCAAATTTTTGTCAAAATTGATAAGTCCCTACATTTTAGTAACAGTGATTTTGGTTCTTGTATTTTCCGAGAGGTGGTGAGTTTGGTTCCTTGTTAGGCCAAATGAAATATAGAATTAGGGACTAAATACACCTTTGGTTATGAGGAGTAAAGCCACTACTATAAAAAAATACAGAGGTCAAGTTTGATCAAGGGACTAAACACATTTTACTCAAGCAAAATACATAAAGTGAAAAGAAACAAAAATTGCAGTAAAGGATCCAATAAGTACTACATGAATGGGGATTACCTATATCCTTTTTACATCAAAGGGTGTAAGAAGTACTACATATGAAGTTTAGGAAGATATTATGATGCTTGTTGTTTACTGTTGCTTCTCTTATTTGCAATGACAATACAAGCTTTCTTTAAATTGTGCAATCAACTATGTAAATGTCATTGTAATATTGCAGGTACTGCAGTTGTGTTAGTCATGCTGGTCACCACATTGCTTATGATTTTAATCATGATATTAGTGTGGCGCTGCCACTGGATTTTGGTTGTGTTGTTCACTGGCTTATCATTGGTTGTGGAATGCACATACTTCTCTGCTGTACTTTTCAAAGTTGATCAAGGTGGATGGGCTCCCCTTGCAATTGCTGGAGCATTTCTTCTGATCATGTATGTATGGCATTATGGCACGGTGAAACGCTATGAGTTTGAAATGCACAGTAAGGTCTCAATGGCATGGATTCTTGGACTTGGACCAAGTTTAGGACTTGTTCGTGTCCCAGGAATAGGGCTGGTATACACAGAGCTTCCAAGTGGAGTACCCCACTTATTTTCTCACTTCATCACAAACCTACCAGCCATCCATTCTGTTGTTGTTTTTGTATGTGTGAAGTACCTTCCAGTCTATACTGTCCCAGAAGAAGAAAGGTTTCTTGTCAAGAGGATTGGACCTAAGAACTTCCACATGTTTCGATGCGTGGCGAGGTATGGATACAAAGATTTACACAAAAAAGATGATGACTTTGAAAAAAAGCTTTTCCACAACCTTTTTGTGTTTGTTAAACTGGAGTCTATGATGGAGGGGTGCTCAGATTCAGATGACTACAGTTTATATGAACAACAAACTGAGAGGTCAATAGAATCCCTACTATTGAACAATAATGCAAACACAGTTTCATTGAATATGGATCCAACAGTTTCATGTGTGGATTCAATAGTGTCAGTTACATCTCCATTACACTTGAATTCTACTTTTAGGTCCTCTGGTCATGTAAGCAGTCATACTGAGGTTGATGAAGTTGAGTTTTTAAACAACTGCAGAGATGCTGGGGTGGTTCACATACTCGGAAACACAGTTGTGAGGGCCAGGAGGGATTCAAGAATCCACAAGAAAATAGCTGTGGATTATATATATGCATTTCTCAGGAAGATGTGCAGGGAAAATAGTGTGATCTTCAATGTTCCTCATGAGAGTCTCTTAAACGTTGGTCAGATTTTCTATGTATAGCCACCCTCTCTTGGTAATCCTTGTGTGAACATGGAGTTTATAGGCACATTCAATCAAAAGCATCTTAGAATAAGTAATAATAATAATAATAATGTTTGTATTGAAATCAATGCTAAAACTTAAAATTGTTTCAACATTGTTCAAAAGGCTTTTCGTTGATTGAGTTTATAAATATTGTGCTCACACAAGAATTGGTTCTATTAGCCCTAGGATCAGTAAGATTTATCATTTGTGACTGTCATTTGTGCAGAGTTGAGTGTAGTTTAGTTGCCATATGAACAATCCCTTGTGGTGTATACCATCAAATAGAGACTGATCTAGGGTGGTTTCTAAAGAAACCTGAAATTCGTTATTCATTTGAGATTCCGAATGCAACACCAAGTTGTTTATTAATGTTGTTTTTTTAACAGCAAAACATAATTACTTTCTTTAAAAAATATAATTATCACTTTTTTTTCTAAATTTATAAGATTTTTAAAAGAAAAAAGTACAAGATTTTTTAATAGGATCAATAAGTTTTGACCTATTTTTCATATTCTGTGACAAGAGAGTTGTTCATATTCAACAAAATATTTTGTTGAATATACAAAATAAAAGTTTAGTTTTTCATACTCAAGAATTATTCATATGAATATTTTGTTGAATAAATCAGTATTTAAGTTTTTAAATATATTAGTCGATAACAATTTTATTTTTTTAAAATACAATTTTTAATTTAATATGTAATGTGCAAATATATATATATATATATATATATATATATATATATATATATATATATATATAATTTTTTTAAATGTTGATTTACTCCATTGCCACATAGATCCAATGGCTGCGGACAAGAAAGTGATGCTGACCAATTATCCAATATGGCAAAAACATTTAGAAGAAGATAAGGTCAAAATCAAAGATAAACATTTGAATAAGAACAAGATCATGTACAACAATTGACTTAAGAACTTTAAGTGAGAGACACGTGTTAGGTTATTTTTACAATTCCTATTTGTACAAAATTTTTGAAGTAAACAGATAGAGCTGAAGATTTTTTCCTTTTAATTAATTGTTTCAACTTTTTTTTCTTTACTTTTTTATATTAAAAATGCTTTATGCGGATATTATACAAATATTCTAAAATCCCCATTTTTTATTTTTTATGTGGTTTATTTATTAAATATATCTATTTTTTAAAGCTGAAGGTATATCCTGTATTCCTTGTTTAGTTTTTAAACAGTCTATACAGAAATTTTTGTAACAAAGGGGACAGTGAGCCCTTTGAGAGATGTGAAAATATCTTTCACAGTGTAGACAAGGAATAGATCCTGGTCCTGAGAAAAATTGAATGTCATGACAACATGTATTTTTCTCTGTTGTGTTCATTAAACCATTACCCAAATAGTCTAATGTTTCTCCTAAACATAGGAGGAATAGATCATCAACTATTGCCAACATACATTGAGCAATGGACTGCAGCTGTAATCCGTGATTATGGCATACATCATGAGAAAGATGTTCACTCTTCTCAAGAAATGATTGCTAAAGCCGAAACCTATTTAGGTGATATAGCTAGAGCTTGCTGGGAATCTTTTAAGAAAAATTACCCAGCCGACTTAAATATGTTTGTGATCGAACCAGGTCCTAACATATACAATTTTTGTTCTTTGTTACAAAAATTGCTTACTTCCCAGTCTGCTAATGATGGGAACACACTCAGACAACAGATTTATCTGAGTCATTTAGAAAGACTTTCCATAACATACTTTGGAAAGATCAAAGAATTTTTACAAGATTATCTCATGTACGCATCCATAGCTGGATGTTTCCATGATTTAAGCATTGGAGAAAAGATGTTTCTCAAACTACCAGGAAAACTTGGCCAAAAGATCCGAGAATCCTGGAAAAATGAAGAGGTTACTCCCATGTTGAACAACCTCTCTATACGTATACAACACATCATGAAAGTGATGGAAGATACGTGTACACATATTGCTATACAAAAGCAATTAAAAAATTCCGATGCTGGAATTTGCAAACAAATTTATACTCCTCAGTAGTATAATCAAAACAAGCCTTACAAAAGGCCTATACCTAGAAGTAAACCTAGGTATAATAAAAACTACAATCAGAATTCTTATTCTGAAAGACAAAAACCCACAACTTCTAGAAAGACTTACACGATTAGGTCTTCAAATTCTAGAAAACCAACTCTAAATCCTGATAGACACGTCAGAAAATTTAGAGAAAACAAAACATACAAGCAAACTTTGAAATGTTTCGCTTGTAACCAACCAGGACACTTCTCTAGAGACTGTCCTAACATTACAAACCTCTACACTAAAGAGGCAGAATTGATAAAATCCTGCCACATGAACCTTCTTCCAATAGATGAAGATGTTTCTACTGACTCCGAAATACTATCAGTGATTAGTATTACAGAGTATAATGATGAAATCAATTTAGACAAAAGCCATAAAGATTATGGCCTAATAAATGATTTCACAAATAATGAATTCATTCACCTTTATCCAAATGAAAATGATTTTCAACTGGATAATAAATATAATGAATTAGGAAATATATTAGATGATTATGGATATTGTCTAATGAATACTACAGTTTCTTCTTTTAAGGAAACTAACAAAAGGGTATTGCAGAGTTCCTTCAGTTATACAGGTACCAATATGGCAAACCCAATCAACAAAGGCAAGTTACCAGCCTCAACAACTGAAGAGTTTGATACTCTAAAGTTTGGAACACAGCATCTTCCGGTTTTACCAGAAGGTCACCCTCAACAATTCAAATGTCTGAGGAACTGTCCCGTTTCAAGGGAACAAAAGGTATTACTTGATGCTCTTCATCGAGCTTGTAATACAACAACAAAATTTAATGCTATTAATGCATTAAATTATTACTTTGCAAAAATATTGCCCGCTGTTTTTAAAAAACCCAAGAAAGAGGCCTACTGCCTTTTTACTGGAGAAAAGCGTGGCGTCTACCTATCATATCCCTCTCTGCTGAAGGCGATAGGTAATGACAAACACAACAAATTTCAAGGATTTGATAACCTTGAAGAAGCAGTACAAGCGATGGTCAGCTATGTTGGAGGTGACAATAGCATGTTGGACCATCCTGAAGTTGGTAATTTCATTTTTGAAAAACCAACAAAACAAAAGAATTTTTCAATTTATGATTCCATTAAACTTAGACAACGCTTGGCTTTTGCTAAGAAAATGGAACAAAAATTGAAATACTCTTTTTCTTTTCAGAAAAATGATTTTCAAAGACATATTTCCTGTTTGGAAATAGAAAATAAAGATTTAAAAACCGAAATCTTAGAACTCCGTAAAAAGATGTACTATGATTTCGAAACCATTGATTATGGTACTTTTACAAATAAAATGGCCTATGTTGGGTCATTCAAAAGAAAATTTTTGGGAGATGTTTCTACTGACTCCGAAATACTATCAGTGATTAGTATTACAGAGTATAATGATGAAATCAATTTAGACAAAAGCCATAAAGATTATGGCCTAATAAATGATTTCACAAATAATGAATTCATTCACCTTTATCCAAATGAAAATGATTTTCAACTGGATAATAAATATAATGAATTAGGAAATATATTAGATGATTATGGATATTGTCTAATGAATACTACAGTTTCTTCTTTTAAGGAAACTAACAAAAGGGTATTGCAGAGTTCCTTCAGTTATACAGGTACCAATATGGCAAACCCAATCAACAAAGGCAAGTTACCAGCCTCAACAACTGAAGAGTTTGATACTCTAAAGTTTGGAACACAGCATCTTCCGGTTTTACCAGAAGGTCACCCTCAACAATTCAAATGTCTGAGGAACTGTCCCGTTTCAAGGGAACAAAAGGTATTACTTGATGCTCTTCATCGAGCTTGTAATACAACAACAAAATTTAATGCTGTTAATGCATTAAATTATTACTTTGCAAAAATATTGCCCGCTGTTTTTAAAAAACCCAAGAAAGAGGCCTACTGCCTTTTTACTGGAGAAAAGCGTGGCGTCTACCTATCATATCCCTCTCTGCTGAAGGCGATAGGTAATGACAAACACAGCAAATTTCAAGGATTTGATAACCTTGAAGAAGCAGTACAAGCGATGGTCAGCTATGTTGGAGGTGACAATAGCCTGTTGGACCATCCTGAAGTTGGTAATTTCATTTTTGAAAAACCAACAAAACAAAAGAATTTTTCAATTTATGATTCCATTAAACTTAGACAACGCTTGCCTTTTGCTAAGAAAATGGAACAAAAATTGAAAAACTCTTTTTCTTTTCAGAAAAATGATTTTCAAAAACATATTTCCTGTTTGGAAATAGAAAATAAAGATTTAAAAATCGAAATCTTAGAACTCCATAAAAAGATGGACTATGATTTCGAAACCATTGATTATGGAACTTTTACAAATAAAATGGCCTATGTTGGGTCATTCAAAAGAAAATTTTTGGGACAACTTCCCGGCCCAATCCAAGAAAAAATCTGCGAACAAGTTTTTGTTGCCTTGTTAGTAGAACTTGGAGCACTACAAAACTGGTTATTCCAATTACCAGTAGACTTTACACTCCGCCTATACTTGAGGATAGTCCAATATCAAGATGATTTGGCACCCTCATCTTCCGATCAGTACAACATCGGAATAAACCCTTATTTGGTGGAATGTGATCCTGCTTGGATCAGTAAACAATTAACTGAAGATTTATTCTTTTCAGGATTCATGAAAAGAATGATTATTTTCAGAAACTCTATGATAGAACCATTTTTCGGTATCAAGATAAATTACTGGATAAATGCGTTCTTTCGAAACAATTACAGTGAGGAATATTTCATTGAAATATTCTCAACACACCCCTACAGCATAAAAGGGGAATACTATCCAGCTAAACATCACTTGTTTCTGGATACTGAGTCTTTCACTGATATTAGTTTCAGTGATAATCTCCAAAAGATTGATCATATTAATCCTCCTTTC